TCAAACCCACCTGTCAGGAGAGAACACACTGGTGAGTCCTGCTGCACAGGCATCTCCTGCTCTGCATCTGCTTCCCTGAGCTGCACAAGCACAGAACTTTTCCCGAAGAGGCCTTTCAGGGAGATGTTGCATGCTTTGCCATTCCTGCAAGTTACGGGCCTGCCCATCCAGGTCAGGGGCCCTGGAAATCCAGATCAGAGATGACCTTCATGGCAGATAGCACCAACTTCTAGAGATAACAAGACCTCAAAGGGAATTCCAAGCATTAGTATGCTTTAAATGCCATCAGCACTGCTAATGAACAGCCCTGGCCTTCCCAACTTTTCAACTGGAAACCTCCCAATGCAAATCTGGTGTTTCTGTTTTGATGGAACCTCCTCCTGCCATTAGAAACAGGCTAAACCAGAGGCTTGAAGTGTGAAGGAGGGAACCAGCATCTCAGGTTGAAAAAGTCAAGTCCCACAAAAGCACTCTCTTCCTTTTATAGATTAAAGTGGTCCTGGAAAGCTGCGTGTGATTTCACCACAGGCTGGTGAAATCAGTTATTTTAAAGGGATTGGCCTTTCAGTCAGTACTGAAGTTCTACTCAAAGAAAAATCCTGTTTCACTTTGTAATAAACTCTTTCACAAAGTCAGTATGGTCTGCTGAAGACTCACCTTTGTGACCTCACATCCCATGCTTCTTTCCTTAACCAAAAGCCCACCAGGTCCCAAACAGAATCAAAGCAGCATGGCCCTCTTTTTGTCCTTTGTCACCTAGGAGATTTATCCAACTCTTACAAGAAACAGTGAAGTGATTCTCAACATCTTTTTCTAGACCTTGTGTTCTCACGCAGCCTCACTAGTCCCTGAACAGCCCAAGCTGCGCTGCTCTGACGAGGGCTATCTAGAACCCAAATGGGGTTTTCTCAGGCAGAGAAAACCACACCCAATCAACCCCCAGGCTGTATGTACCAGTGATCAGGACCCCTTGGTGGTGGGCAGACTAGGAAAGGTGTATGATTATGAGCCAGGGGTCTATGATTTGTGTCTGGTTCTCTTAGGGCAGTGCTTTGTTAGCAGCAATTGATATTACTCTCATTGTTACCATTGTAACTTATCAAATACCTGGTGCAGAAATAAGACACCTGCAAATAGGTACGAGATTGCAAAGGATGGGGTCGAAACATGACCCAAATGTTCTGAGCTCATGGCCATGACTTGCTGAGGAAAAGCACCTCCAGCCTGCTGTGCCCACCCTTTTCAATGACAGCTACAGCCATCTTTAGGAGAATCCAGTATATTTTAAATCCAAATTTGATAAATGTATACATCATCACAAAATAATCTTTCTCTGTTCAAAGAGCAAAGAAACATAGAGTTTCTTTAAATGGAAGTCCTTAGAAATTTTAACATCATTTTTGGAAATCCGATTTGCACATAACCATTTAGGAATATTTCTCTTAAAGAAAGGAACACTGCAGTTAGTTGCTGAGTGTCTGCAGGGGCTGACATCCTGGGCCCTCTGTTCATTCTTAAGGGACCTGATCTCTAGTTGCTTTTTTTTTTTCTTTTTAACCCAGTGATCTCTTTGAGGGTTCCAAAGTATCTTCAGTCCACATCATCTCTGAACAAAACAAACCTGGGGATGCGCCTACTCCCTGGTTTTAAAACGAGAGCTTTAGGTCTTGGGCCTGAGGGGCAGTAGACTGGGAGAGGGCACAGAACAGTTCCTGGAGATGGGACACCTACACCGCCCTGAGGGCAGGGCCGCCTGACTCCATCCGGCTCTGGGTCCACCCTGAACCCAAGATCAAGGTTCTGGTCTGTTCATTCATACCCTAGTCACATTTAATTCACAATTCTATTCCCTTCAGAGGTACATGAGTAAGCACCGCTGTGGGGAGGTCATGTAGTATTTTCAAGGGGGGCAGGAGACCCTCTGTTCTCCTCCTGACAATGCCCATCACCTGCTGTGAGGCCTAGGGAGGTCGCTTTCCCTCTGAGACCCTCGGTCTCGTCATCTGAAATTAAGAGCCTTTCCTCTCTGTGCTCTGGAAACCCACAGGCATGTGCATGTGTGTGTGTGTGCGCGCACGTGCACACGTGTTGATGGCAGATGTACACTGAGTCAGAGACTGAAGCAACATCTGCAATTTTGAAGGTTCAGTAGAGAGAAATTTGGGTCTTTTCTGGTACGTGTCTTTCCAAATTCCCCATGTTTCCCTCAGGCCCTTACTGGGAGACTCAGGATGTTCTACACAAGAGGGCTCAGAGCCAGACCTGGCTGAAGGAGGCATGGAGGACTCGCTTCAAAGCTGCCTTCTGCACCTCAGCTGTCAGACTGTGTGTCTCACGTGGGGTGTCTGAGAGGTGCCGGTGGAAATGACAGAGGCTGAAGTGCCACCACTCCAGGCCCTTTCTTGGTCCAGCCCCGAGGCCATTTAAGGAGGAACATCAGCATTTTTTAAGGAAATGGCACCATCTTTGCCACCTACTCTCTCTGGAAACCTGACTGGACTCCCTCAAGGCCCGCGCAGGCCAGTGGCCTCTGGGTGGCAGTAGAGATGCAGATTTGTCTTACCTATATTGATGAAGTCTGACCGATACTGACATGTCATCCCAAATCCAAAGTCTCTCCAAAATCCAGTCTCCTTCTTTATGACCTGCAAGGAAAGCACTGTCATTTGAGGGGGAAGGAGAGGGTGGGTAAAAATAGAGGGTATTCCCAAAACTCATGTGAGCTGTATTAAATGTGGAGCCCGTTCCATCACTGATAAATAAGCCACGGGCAGCCCTGTGTGCGACATGCAGATGGATCTGAGTCCTCACAGATAGTCAGGAATACGGTAAACTCACCCAAAATGGGGCCTTGTGATTTCTGGCACCTCTGGCTGGAATGTTTCTAGGGTGTAGGCATGAACACACACACACACATATACACAATCAAAAACAAACCGGGAGAGTGAGTTTTTGAGCAGGGCCATGGAAAAGCCACCTACGTGTCTGGCCCAAGACCAGTGCCAGCAAGAATCTGAGGCCAGGGTCCTGCACACAGGCCCGGGCAGGGGGCCAGCAAAGGGCTCAGGAAGTTGAGCAAAAGGATGGAGAACAACTCGGAATTCAGCAGCCCTGGCACAGCCCACAAACAGGACTCCCTCAGGGAATAAAGAGAAATATCTGAGTGACCTCAGTACGTTACCAGCTCCCCAAACCTGCTCACTCTTGCTGGCTGAGGGGAAGGGCACTAAAAGTCCCAGTTCTGAAGAAAGACTCTGTCCGCTCATCTTTATACTATTTTAAAACCAAACTGCTCCAAAAAGCAGATGCAGTGGTGGCACTCGGCGGGGCTGTCGAGAGGCCATCCAACTGTGACCGTCCTTCAAAAAGCGAGACCTAGCCCTCCTCCACCTCCCATCTTGCAAGTAAATTTCCAACGATTTGCTGAAGCAGCAAGACTTTCTAAAGAATGTATTTATATATTTTTGTCGGTGGAGGTAATTCTGGGAAAGGTTTTGAGATCTTAATAATTATTTTTCATGATTCATTCTTGGAGTTACATGGGTGCTTAGACAAAAGGACGTCTCCTCCCCTGGGATGGGGGAGGGAGGCTATGGAGGTTCCCTGTCGCTGGGATTTCTGCACTTTCTGTTTGGGACATCTGGCTCTGTCGTGCTGCTAATCAGAAACAGTAGGCAAGGGATAGGAGCACCAGAGTCCTGCCCCAACTTGACCACTGCTGGCTTTTCCACCTCAGGAAGGTCCCTTGGCTTCTTTGTGCTTCTATTTTCTTTCCTATAAAGTGAGGGGGATGAGCTAAATCACCCCTAAGGTCCCTTCCTGCTCTAGCATCCAAACACTTATCATATCACTGTTATTCCACCTCCTGGAAGTTTCACCACAGGCTAAATTGTATTTGACAAATGGCTTGCAGAGGGGCTGATGAGTCTTCAACTTTCTTTTCCTCTGTAACCTACGAAACCGTCCTGTTTTCACTACAACCAACACTCTGCTGTTAACACGCATCGGGACTGCCCGAGGAAAATAAGGACCAGGAATGGGGTCAAGTTGTCCCCAGCAGAGGTTCTCCAATTGTATGTCACTACAAAGGGCCGTTATACAATATCTCCCAAAGGACAAGACAATTTCATTAGTATCAACCGGAAAGATTTTGAAAGGCAGGAAAATCTGGGAAAACCGCCACTGAGTCCTTTTGTAAAAGCAGATTTTGTTGCATCCCTGTGTAGCAGGTGCACCGTCTCTGTTGTAGCTTGTGATAAAAATGGAGTCCAAGAGAAGTGCCAATATCGCAACTTCAAATATCTGGCTGAGGTCTACATGAAATTTAAAAAAGAAAGTGCCAAATGGGAAAAGCAATTGGCCGGGGCCTGGGCAGAAAGGCAAGAGGGACAGCAAGCGGTAGCCACCCTGAGACTCTGGACAGAATCCACGTAGTACATGACAAGGCTGACCGAGGCAGGGTGACCCTCCCCTGGGACAGCGCAGCAGAGAAAAACCGTCTTATGACATGTGGAGTGAGCTTTATAAATGCTTATTAAAGTTGCTTCTAAAGCTGGCAAGCCACAAAAAGCCACTCTCTGAAGAGCTCACTGAAATGTAGCCCTTTGTGGAGGCTGATGCAGTCATGCCCACGGCACACAATGTCTGGGCGAGACGGGGCTCGGTTCTCAGAGGCTCCCCACCCTCTGTTGAGCTGAGTTGCTACTGGAGTGACGCTCTCCACAAGTGGCCCTGTGAGAGTGAGCACTCCCAGGTGTACGCGCCGTCACTGCACGTTCCCGTCAGGCCCTGCAGTGGCTCCCTAGTGCCAATTACAATGACATCCACGAGGAACCACTGGACCCTGCCTGCCTTGGCCATCTCCTTTCCTCCACGGGCAGCTTGCTGTAACCCCTCCAACTCTTCAGCCTGCAGGTCTCCACGGCTGGTCACCCTACCCTGCTTACCGTGCAGCCCCACTCTAGTGCCACCTGCTCACAGTGGTCGTCTTGACCCCCCAGTGAGTGGCCCACATCTTCCACCCCATGTCGCTTTCTACACCATCACTCTGGTGTATTTTCTCTACAACACTAGGGCTTCTGGAATGATCCTGTCGAGGCTTGTCTTTCTCAGTGTGCTGCTGTCTTCACCCACTGCCACGGTGAAAATAAACTTAGGGCCTTGGTCTTGGTTTGACACTGTCTAGCATGCAGCAGGCACTCAATAATTACTTCAATGAATGAATGGGGAGCAGTCCTAGGACAGAGGTAGTTCCACATGGCGGAAAAAGACACAATTCAAGTAGGAGACAGTCACCAGCAAGGGGTTTGGCAGAGGCCTAGGAAGGCCGGGGTGGAAATCCTCAGCTTCCAATGGCTCTGGGTGTTGTCACCTGCCTGGTGCCTAAGGCTGAGGGCTTGCCTTCTAAGAAACTTGCCCCAGGCACAAGGAGCTCCACTGCTTTGTTCAAGCATTGAAAAGCTATGCACTAATGATGTCTGCTGCAAAAAAGGAGGAGGAAGGCCTGAGATAAAGAAAAACATTGCTTTCTCCTGTCCTGCATTTTTATAAATATCTTCTGTCGCTGCTCTCTCTGCAACACCTTTCTGTCCCCGCCTAAGAGCTCAGAGAGCACTGCAGGGCACGAAGGGACCACAGAGGACAGTTGTGGGGTCTGGTCTCCGGCAGGAAGTTTCCATAGTCACAGATCTGTGGGTGAGTCATGTGACTGGAGGGCTATTTTCTATTAGGACCAAAACAGAAAGCACATGTCAGCATCTCTCCCCAAAGAGGGGGGCAGGGCCACCCTGGCACTGCGGGGAGCTGCGAGGCTGTCCACACTTGTGTGCTGTAACCCTGCCGACTCGGACAACGGCCTGTGAAGCAATCTGGACCCTAAAAGAAAATAAATGACAAATACTCAGGCAGAGTATTTCCTCTAAATCAAAGAGAGTCTCTCAGGAACCGAGGCTGTGTCTGCCCGGCCTTGTGTTCCCCAGAAATGCCTGTGAGCAGGACAGGCTAATGGCATACGACCTGAGCAGTCTCACAGGGCCTGTGAGTAGAAGGACCCCTGCATCTGTCGCCCTCTTAAAATTCCGAGTACTTCTTGAAATAGGTCCTGCCTTTGCATTTTGCACTGGGCCCTGCCAATCACTCAGCAGGCCCTGAGCTGTGGCAGCCTCTGTGTCTGGGTTGGGTGCCCTAACCCTGCGTTGCATGTCTCTGAGGGCTCAAGATCATACTGCAGAGGATCCCAGGAGGGCTGCGTGTCCTTTTCTTGGCATGGAGGCAGAATAACTTGCCCATGATCACTCAGGCAGTTCTAGCTGGGCCCAGACCAACCCCAGGATTGGTGTGACAGCTCCATTTCTTGAGAAATAAGGTATTCTGGAGCCACAGCTTTCAAAGAATTTATGCTATCTCCTCCCAGATTTGTAGTAACTCATGTTTTTCTACAAGTTGTCTTTCATGGTATCTGCATAGAAAATAAATTATTTTGTGTTCTAAGGGTGTCATGTTGGACAAGGAGTTATCCAAATTCTCTCACTTCCAGGAACTTAAAACTAGGCTCTCTGCTCTCCTTGAAGTATTTGAGACCAAAGGATGTGTCCCCTGCCATGGGGCATCCCCAGCCCGGGCTCAGTCACATGGTGGAGCTGAGGTTCCCCTTCTGCCACTCATCAGCTTTGGGAGTCTGAGCAAGTGACTTATGCTGTCTGAGCCTCAAATTCCTCATGTGTGAGATGAGAATAATAATGTCTCTTCACCTTGTTCAGTATCCACAAGTCAATGCGGCCACAGTGCCAGCTTACGGAAAGGCTCCGTAAATGGTATGTGTGGATATTATTTTTGGTACTCAGTGAATATAAGCTTCCTGAATAAATGAACACAGACCACAAAGAGGCACAGGATATCCTATGCGCAGGTGGCAATTTAAAAAAGTGTATGCTGAAACACGGGTCAGAGGTAAAATACTTTGTGAAGTGGGTAGAGAGGAGCAATCGGAGAGGGGGGAGGACAGGAGCCAGCTTACCACGGGCACACTGAACAGAGTGGGGCAGAGTCAGCAGATTGAAAGGATGGATGAGACCTCACAGCAGGTGAGATGTGTGCATTAGACCAAGGGCATTAGAAACGGTAAGGAGGTGGCCCTTAGTGGAATGACTGCCTGAGGATACTCTGAGCAGGTGAGCTCAGCTGGCAGTGAGGCTGGCCTTGGTGCTCATTGAGCTGGTACCGTGCACCAGGTGCTGGGGTGTACAGACATTCTCTCTGTAGTCAATGTGAGGGTCGTTTGTGGAGGGCAATTAATCTTGACAAGGAATCAGGGCTTGCAGTGCTGTGGCTGTGCTGGAACCAGCAAGCACCAGCTCACCAGGATGGTGCAAATCTCTTCCCAACCCTGTGTTCAGCAGCCTGAAATAGGCCATGGTGGGAGTGTTTACACCATGGAAATTGGCAAATGCTACAAATCAGGCCTCCCCCGACCTCCCGCCTTCAGAGAGTGGGTTTTAAACATTTACCAGCACACCACTGGCTTTATGCCATAAAAACTCTTTTAAAGTGGAATTAATCTGTGTTATAGAAACATATCCCTGCAGAGGGTGAAGGAAAAACTGGAGTGTAGGGGACAGAGCAGACTAAAGATAGAAGTGGTAGGAGGCTCCTCTGCAGTGACCTAAGCAAGAAGCAACAAAGCTTGAACCAGGAAAGCAGAATGTTTAAAGTTAATATTTATTTAAATTATCATCATTCCTTTCTCAGAAAGCTGTTTTTACATTAAAGCATCAGCAAGTTTCATCTCACGGTTTAAAACTTAAAAAATTAAATATTAGTATAAAATCTCATGATTTCACCTATTACTAATGGTCTGGACTCAAAGGTAAAGAAACAAGTGGTCTGAACACACACAAAAATCATAAATTTGGTTGCTGGCTTATGTCTGCAGGTAAAATATTATCAAATGACAGGGGCAATAGCCACGAGAAGTAATAACCAGCACACCGACTAATGAGGTGGTATCTGCAGGGCTGCTGGAAAAGGCTGTCTTCTGTTTGCATAAGTAAATAACTTTTCTTATGTCTGCAGTCTGGATCTGTGTTTGCCCTTCACGTCTGATACCGATGCATCCCAGGGAAGGCTGTCAAAGATTTATTAATGTATATGCAGCATATGACTAATGAGGTGGTATCTGCAGGGCTGCTGGAAAAGGCTGTCTTCTGTTTGCATAAGTAAATAACTTTTCTTATGTCCGCAGTCTGGATCTGTGTTCGCCCTTCAAGTCTGATACCGATGCATCCCAGGGAAGGCTGTCAAAGATTTATTAATGTATATGCAGCATATCTTTCAAGACTGAGCCAAAATGTACCCTCAGTTGGAAGTCTTTCCTAATTTATCCATCTCCAGTCATTACTTTTTATTTTATACCTTTCACCACCTACACATCCTATCTCCATTATATGAATTTCTATATTTGATGTTCTCCTTTGGAACTTCTGTCAGGCTACTCTCTTTATACATCAGCTCTCATCTAGATCCTAAGCGAATCTATTTCCACTGTACCAGAGTAAGGAAATCCTAGTTTTGGCCTGAGCTCTGTCACTAGCTGGCTGTGTGATCTCGGACAAGACATTCCACCTCCATAAAAATAAGGGGTGTGTGAAATGCTTTCCAAATCATTTCCAAGTATATGAAGCTGTTTCAGTTCTCACTCCTCCATGAGCATGTAGTCCTCTGCAGGCAGCAAGTGCTCAGGAAACTGTCTGTCCAGTAAGAACGTAATCATACTTTTCTTTTGGATATGGGGAGCCCTTAGTCTCAGACAGAAGAATTGCTATTTTACCAGGTAAAGAGTCATAAATACTAAACTCCAAAATATCTAAATATACTCAAAGGTATATTTGACATGGCAAAGGTTGCAGGACAATTCAGAGCCTCTAGCACCCAGGGAATCTGAGTTGTTTCTGCTTTGACCACTAATTCTGAGAAACTTAACTGTACCATTCCTCTAGCTTCCATTTGCACCTGCTGTTCTGCAGGAATAATAATAAAAGGATAAAAATTTTAGATTGTGAAGTGAAGGAATTCCTTATAAACAAATAAGGTCTTTATGAGTTTGGCGTGGAAACATTAATCACGTTCGATGTCAAATGTAAAACAGTACTTTATTTAAAGCCAGAGGAACTTTTATTCTGATAGGTTGAAAGAAAATGTATCTTGTACCCTATTTTACCCTCAGACACTGTTAGAAACTTAAAACTCTTGGAGAAAGGAAACAAGTTTCTGTTTCAATGTGTGTGATACTGCTCTTAAGTAGGTAAAAATTGGTTCCTGGGGAATGAAAAACTCTGTTTTTATGCATAAAGCACAGATCTATCTATCTATATATATAGATAGATAAATCTACATATCTATCTATATATATATAGTACATAAACAGAGATACAGTACATCTGTGGTAGTAAGCCTACATTATATAATGGAACAATATTATTAGTGTGCTGTCTGGTATGAGCCCAAAGTAAAACCATGTTACCACGTGGGTTAGAGATGAACCTTGTCCAACCCGAAGGCACCCAAAGCTGAAACTTTCTGGAAAAGATCATTATTACATCAGCTTCCAAAAGTGAACTGGGGGGAGGGGTGCAAAGGACATGGGACAGGGCTGGAGAAAATAGCCCCTTCTGGAAGCTTAAACACAAAGTCAGTCCTCTAAAGGAATGTCACAGAACACATGTTCTCAGTGGAAATCAGCGTACTGTCCCATTGCACAGAAGCATGACAGACTTGGTTCGACCACATCTTTATGTTCACGCAGCAGTTTTCTTTCCTGCACCCTGAGAAGTACTCAATAAGAGACAGCCTGGCTTTGCCTCCGCAGGAGGCAGAGCTGCTGAAAGCACCGAAGAACAGACAGCCCCCAGATCAGAGCATCCCCCTGAGATGCAACCTAAGCAAGAACATGGCTTTAGACAAATCCAGCTGAGCTCCCTGCAGGAAAAGATCACAGCCTGGTTTAGCGGGGAGAAGGGTCTTTTCTTCTCTCTGTGAATGCCGGCAACAATAACGGGAAATTGAGTCTCCGAGGGGCACGCCTGTGCGGAGTACAGAGATCCTCCTTTGGCTTGCTTCTCTTTGGAACAGACTAACCGCCTGCAACCATGGGGACATCTCAGCTTACAGAGACCACTGGGGACTGTGTGGTTCCACTATCCATCACCTATGCAGCCAGGATATTAGCAGAGAAATCCCTCTAACATTCCTGTGAAAGCCACCTTGCCAGTGACACCTCTGATGCTATCATCCACCTGGGCACTGTGACGTGTAGCAATGGTGGCATGTTGGGAAGGGCACTGAGAACGCGAGTCCAGGGAACTGGGTCTGGCCCTCATTCCCCACTCACTCACTTTGTGCCCTGGGGTCAGCCACCCGTTTCTGACCTCTACTCTCCATCTGACAAATGGGCCCATAAATCTCACCTTTCTTACCTCATAGAATTTTGTAATAACAAAGACAACATGTGCTGCATCTGAAATGCAGTAATACTAGTTTCCAAAAACCGTAGAAGAAAACTAGAAAGGTGTGAAATTGCCTTTCTGTAAGCTACTGTTCCTATTTACTTCCCACTTTTAAATATTGCAAGCACTTTTAATCGACAAGGTGCTGGGAGCAAAGGCCAGAACGTCTGTCTGTCAACCTTAAAAACTGCTAAGGGAATCAATCCACAGATTTCCACTCACCTTGACTCAGGTCAGGTGCCCCTGGTAATGAAACAGAGGCATTTGTGGGACAGTTACTCACCAGCTGCTGTTCTAAGGGCGGGACTGCATCATGGTGGCCGTATATTATGCCGGGATTGTACTGGCTGAAAAGGACTGGATAAAATACTTTCTTCCCTGCAAACCAGAAAACAAACATTTACGTTCAGCCCTCTGAATCATCCCCGGTTTTTACATCCACTCCGCCTTTCCTCTTCACTCAGCTCCAAAGCTAATTTTAGAAGTGCAGCACCAGTTAGAACAGATAGTCAGATTCCCAAATATTTCTGACCTCCTAGTACAGGAATAATATTCAAACTACTGACAGTCGGTGTCTCTGGCACTGAGTGTCAACTGAAGGGAATGGAATGCGTATGAAAGAGAGTCCTGCTGTCTATTCCCGGCTGTCAAAATTAACCCTCTCGTTGCTGGCTCTTGGGCAGTCTCTAGGGTGGCCAGAGGGACTGGGGTGACTTTGGGCAGCAGGGGTAGACTTAGAGAGCCCGGGCAGTGCTCTTTACCAACTGACACAGAAGAATTTCTGTATTTTAACAACTGACATGGCCATGCCTGTAATGATCAGCACTGCCTGGGAGTGGGGTGACTTTGGGCAGCAGGGGTAGACTTAGAGAGCCCGGGCAGTGCTCTTTACCAACTGACACAGAAGAATTTCTGTATTTTTTTTTTTTTGTCTTTTGTCTTTTTCCGTGTCCGGCAATGGATCGCAACCCTCAGCGCAACCCTCGGTGTTGCCCCCGCGCCTCGCTCAGCTAGTGAGCGGGAACCGGTCTGTATGTGGGATCCGAACCCTCGGGCGGGAGCGCCGCCGCGCTTCCCAAGCGGCGCACTTATCCAGTGCGCCACCAGGCCGGCCCAGAATTTCTGTATTTTAACAACTGACATGGCCATGCCTGTAATGATCAGCACTGCCTGGGAGTCAAGCCCATGAAAGTGGTTTTCACGATGAGGGATCTTTCTGCTCACAGCCCTTCCTGCCTTGGTACCTGCCCACAGCTACTCCTTTCTCCTTAGATTCGGGCAGCTTTTCCAGGTCCATGTCCTCCCCACCACCTTCCTCCTGTGGATGGTCACTAAAGCTGACCTCCCAGTTGAAAATGGAAAAGGGGTTAGAAATGTGAACTTCAGACAGAGTCCCACAACTACAGGGCTGACAGGCCCATAATGTGGCACCAAAGGAGAAATCAAGCCAGATGACTTCCCCTTTCTTTGCCATGGGGGTCAATAAGGCCGATGCAGAAGCAGGACACGAGAGAGATCTGTGCAGAGCATGGCCTTGAGCGTGAGAGCTCAACGCCACCCGGAAGTGAGAAAGAAGAGACCCCTACCTGGCTGTGTGTTTAGCCTACACGTATTGAGGAACTCAGAGGTGAAGTAGATGTCAACGTCACAGAAAAAGAGGAGGACGTTGCTTCCCTTCCAGAACCGGGCTCCGACATCAAGTCCCTTTCCCCGAGAGAACTCTCCATTCAGTTGGATGAAGGTGAAGTTCCTGAAGTTGGCAGCTCTGAAAGAGAACACCGGGGACAGTCACTCACACGCCCACACGTCCCGGGGACAGACTCCCCCGGAAAACACATGACCCAGGCCATCTGCCTCTTGCCACATTTCGTTTGTAACCCTGGGGCACTGGGACCACCCCTGCGGTTACAGGATGAGCCAGACTCACCGGAAACTCACTGGGATTAAAGGTACCAAGGACACCTTGGGAAGTTTTAACACCGATTTATTTCTTGTTTCCCTGGCAATTTCCCCATATTGAAAACTGTGTTGTCATCACCAATGAATATTCTGTGATGGAGAAAAGTTGAACCAGTGAAGACTAGGAATGGAACGCAGGAAATCTTCATGTTTCCTGAGCCACCCACATGAAATCACAATGGAATGGCCCCAGCTACCGTCTTCTCATCTACATTCAAATCCAGGAGCCAGGCACAATGCTCTTCATATGTATCTGACCCCAAACGGATTGAACATGGATTCCTTCCCCACCCTCATGGAAAGCAGCAGAGCACGGTAGGAAAATGACCAACTCGGAGTCAGAAGACTAGGACTGTCTAGGCCTGGCTGTCCTATACATTAGCTCTGTGATCTAGGTAGACCCAGTAATCTCACTAAAGCTCAGTTGCCTCATCTGCAAAACAGGAATGACAGCATGTTCCTTGACTATTTCTCAGGGTTATTAGTTAGGTAAACAGTGCTTAGAGCATAAGGCACTATGTAAGCATCAGCTATCACCCTTATCAGCAGCACAGGTGTGGATTCCCAGGCCTGGGGTAGAGACGCCAGGATGGCTTCTTCAGATGGCTGTTCTTATCACCCTTATCAGGACAGGTGTGGATTCCCAGGCCTGGGGTAGAGACGCCAGGATGGCTTCTTCAGATGGCTGTTCTTTCCCAGGAATAGAGAACTTTCTAATGGGGCATATCCCTGAGCAAAAGTTCAAGGAATTCATTCACTGCCTAGTGGAAGGGGATTGTATTCTAAAGGCACAGAAACCCATTTCCATTTCTAAAAGTCTGTATTCCAAGTAACTATCTTGGGTGAAGGTCAACACAAATATAGAGTCATAAACATTTAAAACGCTATGCTGGGTGTAGTGGATTGAATTATGTCCCCCCAAAACTCACTGAGGCTTGAATTGTGTTCCTAAGTTTTATGTATTAGAAACTTGGCCCCCACTGTGACTGTTACGAGTGGGAAATCCTATTATGGTAATTGAAAGGTGGAGCCTTGAAGAGGTGATTGGATTGTAGGACCTTGCCTAGCGAATGGATTAAAAATGGTGGTCAAGGGCATGTTTCTGAGGGCTTTAAAAGAGGAGGAGATTCTTTCTCTTGGCTCTCGCTCTCTCTGCTTCCACCATCTTGCACTGTGAGACCCCTGGGTCACTCCTGCCTCCACCAGATGGACTTTAGACTTCCAAGCATCAGAAACTGTAAGCAATAAATTTTGTTTTTCTTTATAAATTACCCAGTTCCAAGTATTCTGTTTATAGCAACACAAAATGGACTGATACATTGGGCTTGTATCTGGTATTTTAATCAGCGAAACTAGTTCTGCTACCCCCTCTTTTGACTTATCTTCTTTCAGATCTGGGAGTGAGCTTGGTTATTTATCTTGGGAATCCTGTCTGAGTCCGATGCCAGACATGCCTTTTGGATTGAGATCAAGGTAGAAGGCCTCGTGATGGGACGAATGCCTGTTTGTGAGTCAGGAAGCCCAGATCCAGGGCCCAGAGCTGTGCCTGGTCCCCACTAGATGCTCAACTGATGTTCGTGAATAAGTGCATGAACATATGAATGATTCTAACCTTAGCTCTGCCTCTTATTTAGTGGAGAAAACTCACTTCCCCTCTTACGTCTCAGGTTCCTTACTGCAAAATCCAGTGGTTACGGAGCTCAAGGCCCCCTTTACACACTGAGATTCTATTTTTCTTTTTTCTTTCTTTTTTTTTTTTTTTTGTCTTTTATCTTTTTCCGTGTCCGGCAACAGATCGCA